AGATTACAAACTTGTTGAAGAAGAAGAAGAAGAAGAAAAAGACGAAGAAGAAGAGGAAGAAGAAAAATTAACTCGCAAAAATGAATGGTGTCTTCTTTGGAGCACCTGCAGATTGGGTTCCTTCCTCAGATCCTTTGGTGGAGCCTTTTATAGAAGCCCTATAAGGAGTTGTTGTATGATAGTTGGGATCACTGCTGGTTGTTGGAATAATCTGCTGCACCATGGGCTGACCTCTGATGTTGGTGGTAACCTGAAAAGAGAAAAGCCAAAGAATTAGAGGGATAAATGGTTAATAAAATTGCGAATTTCCAGGTGAAGTATTTACCTTGGGTTCATCAGTCCCAGAGTTGGAGATATCACTCTCAGTATGCGCTGCATTGCAAGCAGGGAACACTTTTATTGAGAGTTTGCTAGCCTTTGACTTTGGTTAATTGAAGGCTTCAATTACTTTTGCTTGCTTTCTCCTCATTTTTAGGGTCTGTTCTTCAGGAGGAGATTGGTCTTCCTCATCCGACTCAATTATGATTTGGCTGGAAGCTCCTCTTAATTTTTGCTTCTTTGGAGTGAGGGGTGGTCTTCGAGAGCTCTGAGGAGAAAAAAGTTGAAGTATCAGACTACATGAGATTTTGCAGTAAAGAAGAAATGAGTAAGAAATTTACCTTAGCAACTTGACTGCTCTCTTCTGTCTTTTCTTCGATCTGTTTCTTCTTTTTGGGTACAACCTTGATAGCTGAAATTTAAACAAAAATAAAACAAGTAAGATGATAAAAATCGAATAAGAGAAATATAGTTTGAAAATCTCCCATTCCACACCTTTATATATTTCAGATTCGATGCAAACATTTTTGATACCGATATGAAGAAAACCTTTGAAACTGTCTAGAGTATGCTTAGTCGCAACCACCCGCTGAGCTTTCGGTTTCGACTGTTGACGAAGGATTTTTATAGAATCCACACAGGTAAACCAGTCTGGAAATAGAGGGGCAAAGGCCACTCCAAAATCAGCATTTGGTAGTCGAGGAAATTTATTGAAAGTTATTGCGTATCGTTCCCTAGGAGGAATGAACGAAGGGAGTCGCAAATTCTCCATTTTCTTTAAAACTTTTCCTTTAGTGTAACAGCTGCCTCACAGACGTTTCGACTAAGATCTTCTGGTCGATAAATAGTTTCAAAGTACTTCTGAAATGCTTGGATTTCTTGATGCGTGTCGAAGTACCTTTTGTCGTCTTTTCCTGTATAGAGAGGAAAGCTTGGTTAATAAGCTGAGTAAAGGAAAGAGCATCGAAGAAATCCTCTACATAATATATTGACCACCAGTGGTTGAATTCTGGGGTGCAAAAGAAACAAGGTTCAAAACCAGTGGGGATGAGTTGAGCCTTATTGGAGCAACGGGTAAGTTGCATCAAAGTCATCTCTTCAGTGTACTTCACATGATGAAGCAGAAGGGCACCTTTCTTTTCGAAGAGACATTTGGGAAGAGCTTGAATCCACCCAAACTGTCAAACCGTTAAGTTTGGTTGGTAAGCAACCAAAGCCACTTGAGATTTCGACAAATTCAATCGAAGCGTTAGCAACCTTGGAATCAAGAAAGCTTCTCAGATCTGCAAAGATTCTGCTTCTTGAGCCTTAGTTGGGGTTGGCAAAGGTCTTGTAAACCACTAATGACCATACTTCCTTGCAGCGAATGGAGTCATATTCGATGTGAACTCATGACGTTTGACAAACATCATAACATAACTCAGGAATGTCGACCTAAGGGATTGTCCTTCTTCGATGGAGGTGAGATGGACCAAGCGAGTCCCTTCGACTCTCCTATTTTTGATGTCTTCAGCAGTCTGATTGAATTTTTATTGGGGAGGCTGGCTTCGAATGAGGCATTTAGCCAGAGTTGTAACAGCCAGAAAGGACCAGACAGTAAAAGGTTCCCTTTTTCTCCTAAGTCCTTAAGTTGTGCTACTATTTCACTTAGAGACTCATAGAGATTCCCTAAGATCATTTTGCTTAGGAAAATATCATGACCTTTGTGAAGTTGAGTGGCTAAGGTTAAGTATCTCCTAGCTACTTGAAGGGACTTTGAGCAAAAGACACAATGAGATAACCATACAGTAAAAAAAGTTATGTGTTCTCGATCAAAAACGTCATCAGTTATTTTTTCGAAGTAGTGTGTTATGAAGTAAGAATATGTGGCTTTGGCATATGCAAAACCTATAGAATCATCAGATTCTAGGTCGGGGTCATATGGGTTTCCAGTGGGTTTGAGCCTTGTGATAACAGCTATATCAAAGAGTGTAAGAGTCATCATCCCACAAGGGAGATGGAAAGTATAATGGGTGCTATCCTAGAAATACAAGGAAGAAACCAACATGGTCTGACAGTAATTATGACTTGTTTTCAACAGCATAATCAAGTCATAAATTCCCAGGTTTTTTCAAGTTTGGGGTTTAACTTTCTCTATTTTCGCTCGCCAGTTCATGTAATCGTCAGATTCTTTGAAGGATGTGGTTGCTCTAAAAACTCTAAAACTATTGTTCATATACCTTAAATCTATATTGTTCAGTACTACCGCATCAGAATAAGTTTTCTCAACCCTAGTTTTGTTTGCCCGACCTATGGGTTCTGATTTATGGTAAGAAGGGAAAAATTCCCTAGATTTATTGTGGTCAAAACTAAGAGAAGGTAAAAGACCACATAATACATGTCTTTTACCAGAAACAGTAATGTGAATGAGTACCTGAGATTCATATATCTTCCTATTCTCTTCCTCAAGTGGTTCAGGGGTGAACTACTGGTTGCCCATCATCATTGGCGCTGACTGTGTGTCAAAAGGAGGAAGCTGGGAAATCTTCTTCGGGTCTTTAGATTTGTGGCTTTTCTTGGAATCTTTAACATTGGTGGTTGAAGACGCCATTGTTAAGGTTTGAAGAAAATCTGGGTATTTTTAGAAGTTTGGAAAGTGCAGAGAGAAGGAGATCATTTAAAGATTTTTTTTGGGAGCGTAAAAGTTAAAATGGTTAAGTTTGGAGTAATTTATAAGCTCGCGGGAGTTTAAAGGATCTTAAATCAACATTAAAGAGCTGATAGTTAGTGAGACACGTATTCCATCAGGGCCGTTTGATGAAACGTGGACAGTTAATGCCTAGTGCACAATTTCCTAGAATCTAGGAAATGTGACGATGGCCAGAGATTGTGGCGTACTTTGATGAGACATTTTTCAGAAACTGCTATGATGATCACGACGTCATGGGTTTTTGGAATAGTAAGAGACATCAAAAACATTTAAAAGTCGTTCGAGGCGTCGAATAACACCATAAAAAAATGCATTTTTCTTAAATGATATCGAAAATGACATTTTTAGGGGGCAATTTGTTGGCTCTTAATTTCAACGCCTGAATGAGATTAAAAGTAGGAAATGGATTTTTCAAATAAATTTAATGACTTCGACTGAAGCCATATTTTTGGAATATGAGTCGAAGGCGTCCTTTCGCCAAAAGAATCTATGTTACAGACTTAGAGATATTTCTTAGCAGTTGGAAGATTCAATTTGACAGAGGTGCCACTGAAGGCATTTCGACAGGAAGGTTTGAATTCAAATAAAGGAGGGAAAGTTCGTTCTCATCCATTCCTCAAAGAAGACACGTGGAACGCTTATAGGATTCGAAGGCATGCAGAGCGACACTTGTCTCAATTTCGTTTGCTATCCGTTAATGGCAGTTATTTTCGATTAATATAAATAGTAAGTCTTAGTGTTAGGACTTATGTGTGTTCAATTGTGTACAAATTCTTCAGTATACTCCAAGTACTCGTGTGTTGAGAGAAACGAGTTTGTAAGAATGTATGTTGATGTAACACCATCTTTTCATTTCAATGCAATTTAATAAATCTTTTTCCTTAAGAATTTATTCTTTTTTTTTTATGCAAGTTATTATCTTCATCATTTACTAGTACTTCGATTTTACTCCTTCGTGTCCAGTCCCGTTTACACTTGAAATAAATTATTTTATCATGAACTATGTCAAAGTGTTCATCGTTTTTCTAAACTTTATTTAAGCTCAATTAGCACATGTCCTAGGATTTGTGTGGTCGATCTTGCAAGTAAAACAATTTTTTTTTATTTGTAAGACCAGCGGTTGTTCACCAATTTTTACGGCGAACAATTCCACAGAGGTGATTATGTTAATCGATCATGAAATTGAACATTTCGTCATCTTCGTTCCTTCGTCTCCTCTATCCCACAATCATAGCTTTTTTTTTCTTCCAATATACAAAATCCTAATTTCAAGGGACTAAAAGTAAAAGCTAATTTCTGAGCACTTTGACATTTTTGGTGAAAAATAAATGAATATCCACGTATGTATATTGTTAAATATAAAACAGACATAAATCAATTTCACGTGTACGCCTTTAGCCAAATCAATTATTTTAATAAAATTCTAATCCCAGAAATTAACGCCAACACAAAAGTAAGATATATAAACTCAATCAAAAATAAAAATACAATCACCAAAAATAAAAATTTCGCTTAACTTAAAAATAAAAAAAAAACTATTTAAACCTTAATTATATTATCTTGTACATTTGTGTCAATCTTTCCAGTGTTAAAGTCAAGAAAACATTCTCTTGATTTATTATCAACATTCTCTTGAATAATAAATAATATAGTAAATCATTTATTCTTTTAATAAAGTTGATTCTTGTCATCTTATCAAGTTATGAGAATGCATTCCAACATATTCATCAAATTTATCATGAAAACATTATATTTTACTTATACTTGAAAATACTTAAAATATTCCACATGTTTCATATTTTTAAAGGACTATTGTGAGTAAATAAGTCTAGTTAGTGAAAAAAATATATACATTACCATATCCACAGGAAACCGTACGGTACGCAATTGTCTCTATCTAGATCTGATGTATATGAACCTAACCTTAATTTCAACAACCTTTCATCTCAAAAAAATCGAATTCATATTCCGTTAATGTTCCTTGTCTTGTTCTATGAAAGGTCACGATTGGATCAACACGTGTCTCCCCGATGAGCTAATCGTCGAGATCTTCCGCCGCCTCGACTCCAAACCAAGCCGCGACTCCTGCTCTCTCGTCTGCTACCGCTGGCTCCGTCTCGAGCGGTTCTCACGCTCTTCCATCCGCATCGGCGCAACCGGCTCACCTGACCTTTTCGTTCAGCTTCTCGCTTCCCGGTTCTCCAACGTCACCGCCGTTCACATCGACGAACGGCTTTCTGTTTCACTTCCCGTTCAGTTGGTCAGTACGGTCACCAATTTTGGCAATTCACTGGTGATTATTTTTGGATGTTTGATTGATTTTTGTTGTGCAGGGGAGAAGACGTGTCACCAGTGAGAATTCTGGGGCGGCTTCGTCGTTGAAGCTTCGTTATGTTAACCATAAGAATGGATCTTCCTCTGAGGATAGTGAATTTGATTCGTTGTGTTTGTCTGATACTGGATTGGCTGCTCTTGCTGATGGGTTTCCCAAGCTTGAGAAGTTGAGGTTAATTTGGTGTTCTAATGTTACCAGTGATGGGTTATCATCACTAGCTTGGAAATGTGTTTATTTGAAAGCCTTGGACTTGCAGGTTAATTTGCCATCTTTCATTTCCTTGGAACATTCATAACTTGTTTAGGTTTAGACTTTTTTGGTTATGGGATTGATGAAAATGTTTCCGGTTTTACTAGGAGAGTTAGCATCTATTTTAGGATAAAAAAGTTTTATGGTGATTACTGATTACTGATTGGCTAGTGTATGTGGATAGTTTGAATTGAAAGTCAAGCTTATGTGTGTCTTAAGGCCTATTTAGATGGATTGCTTAATTAGGTGCTTATGTATAAGCTTTAGTATTTATAGCGGAAGATAAAATAAGGTAAAATAATTTATGAACATGTCATAAGCTGTTTGAAAAGTTTATGGAAATAAGTTAAAAATAGTTTATGAACATGTGACAAGCGGTTTCCATAAGCTCTCTCAAACAATCTCAAGAGTGCTTATGCTAGTAGATTGACTCAAACAAGCTAATCCAAGCAAACCCCAAGTCTTGAAGGGCAAGAGTTTATGTTTTTTGAAGCATTAGAATATTGAGACTCTGAGGCCCAATCCATTTTCTCTATCAATACTTCATTTGAATTGCTACTCACTCTATCAATGTATAGGATTTTAGAAGATAAATGGTATGAATGATGCATGTTTATTGGTATAACTATTGGGATTTTCCTCTAGGGTTGTTATGTTGGAGATCAAGGCTTGGCTGCTGTTGGACAGTGTTGCAAGCAACTTGAAGATTTGAATCTGCGTTTCTGTGAAGGCTTGACTGATAAGGGTTTGGTTGATTTAGCTCTAGGTGTGGGGAAATCGTTAAAATCTCTCGGTGTAGCCGCTTGTGCCAAAATAACTGATATCTCAATGGAAGCTGTAGCATCGCACTGTGGATCCCTTGAGACTTTGTCTTTGGATTCAGAGTTCATCCACAATCAAGGGGTGCTTGCGGTGGCTAAAGGATGTCCATATTTGAAATCTCTAAAGCTGCAGTGTATTAATCTTACAGATGATGCTTTGAAAGCTGTAGGCGTTAGTTGTTTGTCTCTGGAGTTATTGGCTCTGTATAGTTTTCAGCGATTTACTGATAAGTGAGCCGCTTTCTCATGATTGCTTTGCTTTTTGAGGATTTTCATTTGATTATGATTGTTGACTTTGCACAAAATTACAAACAATGCTTGTCTTTGTTTCTCATGAGATGTCTTGAGATATATTGAACTTGTGACAAATTGCAAATTATCTTAATGTTTTATGACTTGATCAACCATTTTAAGGGTCGATCAATTTAAAACGGCTGTTCTAACAACCCTTTTTCCCTGATTAATTTTAATGTTCCATTTAGGGGTTTGTGTGCTATTGGGGAAGGATGCAAGAAGTTAAAGAATTTGACTTTGAGTGATTGCTATTTCCTAAGTGACAAGGGCCTGGAAGCAATTGCTATTGGGTGCAAGGAACTCACCCATCTCGAAGTCAATGGATGTCACAACATTGGAACTTTGGGACTTGAATCTGTTGGGAAATCATGCCAGTATGTTTTGTGGTCCTATATTTGTATTAGCTTGTGGTATTGACATAATAGTCGACGACACAAGTTATAAAATGTTGAAAATTTCCATCAACGATGCTAATCTAAGCTCTCTACTATGCAGACATCTCTCAGAGTTAGCATTGCTCTACTGCCAAAGAATTGGTGATCTTGGGCTTCTTCAGGTTGGAAAGGGATGTCAATTCTTGCAAGCACTTCACTTGGTGGATTGCTCAAGCATTGGAGATGAAGCCATGTGTGGTATAGCTGCTGGCTGCACAAATTTAAAGAAGCTTCATATCCGACGCTGTTACGAGGTACTCCATTTTTGTCCATGTTTGATTTTCTAAATGAAAATGCCATGTGTAGCTTCATTTATGGCTTTGAATGTGTTTTTGGGTGCCTCGCTTTCAAAATGCATTTTGGACCTTATAAACTAGAATAGTGGTATTATTCATTTTGACCAGAATTAATACTAACACACATTTCAGATGATTCTTCTAATTTGGCCTTAAATATTTAGATTGTCTCACTGTATAATCTTGATTTTTGACTGCTTTAATAATCTCAATCGCACTCTCACGCCGTAATGCACTTTGATAGGATAATAAATTGTTGGGCCATATTTACCTAGTAAGACTGAGCAATCATACTTATTTTGGAAGTAATCTGATGCTGGAATGCAATTTGATAGGATATTATAAGGATTGATGATCTTATACATAAATCTTTTAAGATCAAATCAAGCAATCAAACCGATTTTGAAAGAAGACTTGTTTGTTCCTGTTAAGAGTCTCACATCGGACAATATATGGCATGAACATGTGTTTATAAGTGGGGGTAATCCTCACTCTACCAACCGGTTTTGTAGGGTTGAGTTAGGCCCAACCACACTTCTTAACATGGTATCAGAGCCCGGTTTAAGATCCGCTGGGCCACCTTCTATGGTTTCCGCTATCGGGCCACCCACCATTTATTTCCACGCTTCAGTTGTCCAGTCCTGAGCGTGAGGGGGTGTGTTAAGAGTCTCACATCGGACAATATATGGCATGAACATGTGTTTATAAGTGGGGGTAATCCTCACTCTACCAACCGGTTTTGTAGGGTTGAGTTAGGCTCAACCACACTTCTTAACAGTTCCTATAAACAACCTTATTTTGGAAGCCATATTTTCCTATTCTTTGTTTAGAAAAACTACCAAGCCATATTTCCTTCCTTCTATGCTATTGTTGTTCTGGTTTTCTCTTTGAAAGTTGAAACTCTGTTGTTGCTGGTCTCTGCTTCTTCCTCTTTTTTTCAAGCTTTACCAGTTCTAATTTCTGTTGTGTTCACTGGTTGCTATTATTCTTTGAAATTCTTCTTCCAGTTGAGACCTTTTTCAGTGCTTGTTGAATTGGGCATTTTTCTTGTGTACGAAACTATTAGGAGGGCTTTGTTTTGGGCCCCCCACATGAAATATATAGCCTCTCCAACCTTTCGCTTGTCTTTTAATTTAACCGTGAACTGACCTATTCCCTTTAGGAACTTTTTTCTCTCCTAATCCCTATCAATCCCTATCAAATAAGTATTAAAATATTAAGACTAAGAAACTATAAAAATAAATCTACATTCATACTTGAATTGAAATGAGTTTATACTAGCTATACCATCATATTTTTATATTAAAATTAAAATATATTGACATTCTCCTAGGATTTTATTATGACTCATGTTACTATTCCGTCATTTGTAATCTTTTACCCTCCTTTGGATTGCTGGTAAAAGAAAGAAAAAGGATTTGCTTTTAATGCTTCCATCACATCAATTTGCAGTGCTTTCATCACATCAATTTGCAGTGCTTTCATCAAGGTTCCTTATTTTGTTGAATAACTACTTGCAGTATTTTCTTCTGGATTTAAGCTAACAGATAGCGCATTGCTCTGAAGAAGGAATAGGGTATACAGTACATACGTTGTATTAAAGAATAAAGACAATTCAACGAATAATCTGTAGCTATATGTTGGCCTTCAAAAAGTGGAATAGATGAGTTTTTTTTACCAAGATTATACCCAATAGCAAGTTAACTGTTTGACTAGTCCTATGATGTCACTCTTTAAAGGCTCATGCTATGCGATGTTGTTTTGCTTTTTGAATTAAGATGATTCACTTTGTTTGATTCTTATTTACTTACTATACTCAGGTTCCTTGTTATTGTTAGGATATAGACTTATGGCTAATGAGGTTAGTTAAAGTAGTTATGAGGTGTTAGAGAAGTTAGTTAGTTATTTGGGACTTGGGTTGTAATTATGAGTTGTTAGAGAAGTCAGTTGGTTAGTTATTCGGAATAGCTAGAGAGTATGTGTATAAGTAAGAGAGCACAAGGGTTAGAGAATATCTTTGAATATTTTAATTGTGAACAGAGTATTCTCTACTATGAAGGGTAAACCCTTGGAGGAGAGATTCTCTCCTATTATAGTGTTCTTTATTTGGAATCCATTATTGGGTTCCTAACAATTAGTCCGACCTGCCGGATCTTCGAGAAGTGCTGTGTGTTCTTGGAGATAGAGGCGGCACAAATGGTGAATTTGCCAACTTTTGCGTGGATATATCCCATTGGGCGGGCTGAAAAGACTTTTGAGGAGCAGGAAATTTATGGGTTTGATAAAGTGCTGCAGTGGGCATTCATGAGCTGGATGCTTGGACATTATTGCGGTTTTGTTCTTAGCATCAAGAAAATCCAGATCCAGCCTGCGAATGTGTCCAACAAGTTGGAGGCAAAACCTTCTCCAAAGAAGATCTTGTCACACCAACAGAAAAATATATTTGAAGGAGACAGCCACAAAGAATCTTGCTCTTGGGAAAAAAAGGTGGTTGATGTGACCATTTCATTGGGGTTAGGGGGTTAGTTCGGAGAGAAAACTGAACGAACCAAACTGAACTTTAGTCCAGTTCCCAAAGACTGAACCAAACTGTTTAATTGTTAGTTCCAAACCGAACCAAACTTTCATACCAGTTCTGTGAACCGGTTCTCCATTTTCGAACTGAACCGAACCAAGAAATAATGGAACCATCATCCAACAAATGTAAATTATTTTATGTATTCTATATATCAATTAAGATAGGTTTGTACACACACAGTAGACAAATTCAGAAGGAGATAATTTTTGTTCAGAAACAAAAATTCTCAACCTGATAGATTGGAAACAGACATGCAAATTGGAAATAGAAAGAGAGGATAGAAGGTAAGTGTCAAAGCACAAACCGACAAAACAACAACCAAGCCTTACCCCACTAAATGGAGCCGGCTACATGGATCAAATTCCGTCATAATGTTCTATCTAGAATCATGTTTCTATCCAATTCGTTAATCTCGAGATCTTTTTTAATAACTTCTCTTATAGTTTTTCTAGGTCTTCTTCTACCTCTAGCTCCTATTAAAATCATGAAAACAAAAAAACAAATGTATGCACCAGACCTTGTTTGCAAAAAATCAAATTGGGAGGTTGATTAAGTGTTTTGCGGCGGTTATTCCATTTACGACAGAGATATGCTACTTGCGACATAGTTTCTATTCACGTCGTTGTTACTCGCAATGGCGTTACTACATGATGTAGATGCTACTCGCGACGGCACTGCTGTGCGGTGGATATATTTTTTTGAACAGTGAGCGGCGCTGCTATGCTCAACGGCAACAATTGAGACAGAAGTAGGTGACGGAGCTTCAGTTATTACCCTCTTAATTTTTGTCAATTCCTAATTTGGGTTTTAGGGTTGTTTGATTAATGATTTTTGGATTTTCTAATTTAAGGATTTGTTTGATTTCATTTGGTTTTACTGATCTGATTTTGTTATTAGAATTTGTTTTGTTTCAGTTATGTTACAGTTCACTTCTAGTTTCTAATGAATAGTTTGGTTTGTGGTAAACATAGTTTGGTTCTCAATGTTACGCATGGGTCAATTTAAAACTGGTCCGGTTCGGTTCTTCAGTTCAGTTTTGTTCTTTGGATTTCTTTAACACGCCTAATTGGGGTGCACCAAGGCAAGAATCAAAGTTAACATCAGATTGGTCAGTGGAAACAATGCTGAGAAGATCAAGAAACAGAAAAAGAATGTTTCAAAGTGGTGAAAAAAATGGATGAACAGAAGGTAGATGTGAAATGTGAAGGTGGAAATGCGGAGAGAACTCCACAATTGACCGACGCGGCCCTTAAAAAGTTCATTATGAAGACTAAAACCACAGCAGTCCTAACTGTGCTAAGTGCCAATGTAAAGGGCAAACTTTTGTTTTCTACGACAAATAGAACAAGAAGAATATGGTAGATGTGTCAACCTTGAGGTCATGGATCTTTTGAGAAGGTGTGTATTGTTGGGATATAAAATTATGGGTAATCAGGTTAGTTAAAGTAGTTATGAGATGTTAGAGAAGTTAGTTATTTGGTTGTAATTATGAGTTGTTAGAGAAATTAGTTAGTTGGTTATTTGGATTCCTTAGAGAATATCTTTGAATATTGTATTGTGACTAGAGTATTCTCTATTGTGAAGGGGAAAACCCTTGGAGGAGAGATTCTCTCCTATTCTATCATATTTTTTGTGTTCTTCATTTGGAATCCAATTATTGGGTTTCTAACACCTGCTTCTTTACACTATGACATGATTGAATTATTCACATTTCAAAGATTATAGTGCTATTTTTTCATCCGAAGTGTAACTAAGGAATACGGGAAGAAGTGTTTGTTTCAGGATAGTGAATATCCACTATAGCTCCCGTGTAAAATACATGAATTCCATATGCATTATTGTTTTTCTCCTTACTTAAAATAAATGTTCATCATATATTCCATTTAAGCATTAAAATAATATTTTATTATTCAACCAAGTAAGTTTTATATAATATTAAGGTGTTTATATGTTTTTGGCTCTGTCCTGATATTTCCTGTTTTCTTTCTCCTATATTAGATTGGCAATAAGGGGATCATTGCTGTTGGTGAGAATTGCAAGTCTCTAACGGATCTTAGCATTCGATTCTGTGATAGGTAGGACCGTCTTCACAGCTTTTTAATTCTTCCTATCCAATGAAATCCTCTCAGTTACATGTCTCTAACCTTAACTGCTTTGTTAAATTGCTAGGGTGGGGGATGGGGCCCTTATTGCTATAGCCGAGGGCTGTTCCCTTCATTATCTGAATGTAAGTGGCTGCCACCAAATTGGCGATGCTGGACTGATAGCCGTTGCAAGGGGCTCCCCTCAACTCTGTTATCTCGACGTGAGTGTACTGCAGGTGTGTATTCAAGTCCCTCCTTTATACCCACATTTTGAGGAATATATCACGCGCTTTCTCGATTCAGTTATAGTTATATGCTTTTTCTTTTCATTGCATTGCTCAATACAACTGCAGGCTTTGGGCGATATGGCTATGGCCGAGTTGGGAGAAAATTGTCCACTACTTAAAGAAATAGTAATATCTCACTGCCGTCAAATAACAGACGTGGGTTTAGCGCATCTTGTAAAAAGCTGCACCCTACTAGAGTCATGCCATATGGTTTATTGCTCTAGCATAACTTCAGCTGGAGTGGCCACAGTGGTTTCTAGTTGTCCCAACATAAAAAAGGTTCTCGTCGAGAAGTGGAAGGTTAGCCAGCGGACCGAGCGCCAGGCAGGCTCTGTCATTTCCTACTTGTGTGTGGACCTGTAGACTTCCTTTGCTACATATATAATATACATGCATACCCTCAGGTTTGTTACACTATGGTGAGTGAATATAAATAAAGTTTCTTGCAAGCTGTGAAAATGGATACAATTGTAGGATACATGTCTGTATTAGTATTTTTCCCCTTAGTCAATAAATAAGTTCTTTCTGGTAATAACTGTAATGCTTTAGCCTCATGAAACACTCCAGATACCTCCTTGTAGGAGCGCGCCAAGAGGGTAGGAAACAATAGGCTTAGTTAAATATGTGTTGTATTGATATGTAACAGAAAAATTATTTAAGAAAAATAAACATTTGCTTTGATTTATTGTTGAGGGAGTTGCATGATTTTTCTTCATCTCCATCTTCCTTTCTGTTATCATCACTGATGTTATGCTTTTCAGTTTTCACTCTGTTGTAGTTTGTTTTAGTACTGGGACACAACCGAAGCAAGCAAAGCATGATTTTCTGAAGATTGTATGTGAAGAAAAACATGCGGACAGAATACTAGTAAATGACCATTTCATTGTTTTTAGTAAAGCATGTAATTATCGATTGTAACAAACTGTATATTTGAAACTTTGACTCATGATTTCTTTACATAGGTTCTCATATTTTTAGCATGTCGAATATTAACTTAATATAACTAAAATATTGCATTTGTTTTCAACTAATAATCTTCATATACTCTTTCATAAATTATACATGAATGAATGAAAAATGATCAATAAGCTGCCCTGCTAACTTCTCTTTAGGCGAAAAATATCAATTCTTTTAAAAGTTATATTCAAAAAAGATACAACATTCTTAGTAGAAGGTCTATCGCCTTTGTTAGAAAGTTAAAAGTGTTAATATAATTGGTATAAAATTATGTTAACTGTTTGAACACATTTTAAGGTTTGTCCATTTTGTATAGAACACAATTTAAAGTAACACTTCTAACAAATTGTATTTGTAGTTTGAAAGCACTCTAATGAATTGCGAGCTTCTTAGAAGTACCAAAGAACACTTCATGACGAAAGTAGAAGAAACTTATTATATGGATCCTTCAACTTTAAAGAAAATACATTAACTCGACAATTTTAACAAGTCTCTATCTTGAGCAATAGTCCATTGGAACAATAACCTCCACAATGTTTATTGTCATCGAAGGAAGTCCAAAAGAGCTTACTCTTTGAAATGTGAAACTATTGATCCTCTTTATTTAGTCTAATGGGATTGCACACACCTTGCATTGTTTGGCCACGTTGGTTGGATTTTTATCTGTTTCAACTTCTTTATTATTTTTCGTTTTTTCTTCTTTAATATTTTTCTATTAATCAACTTGTTAACAACATTTTTCCTTTCATTTTTCAACTCATAAATCTAAGTGCTTATGTTTTGCCCCTGTCCCTCCAAAGAGGTAAGTCAAACTAGGAAATAACAAGGAACTTGCTAACAAATCAATGTTGGACATTGAAGTATCTTTTACCTTAAGATCCAACTTTTGAAGCTGTAAGATATTATGGGTCTATGAGTCTGTCTGTTTTAACTTTAAAAAAATAGATTTTTTTTTATATTATATTACAAATTTTTTTATATTTATTTTTTCAAAATTGCAAGACTAATTTTGATATCGTATTATTGAAGATCAAAACATAATCAAAATTGCAGTTTTTAAAAAATGTTTTGAAATAGCTTTAAAGTTAAGTGATTTTTTAAAATTTTAATATTCAACTTTTTTTTTGATAAAATAATAAAATATTTAAATAACATTTTAAGAATAATTATTCAAATCTTCATTTAAATTTTTTTATGAAAAGTCTCTTTTGTAAATTCTTTTTCTATAAAATTTTAATACACTATAAAAATTATTTAAAAAAAAAAAACAAAACAAATGTATAAACACGTAGAGAAGGAACATATTGATAGATGTTTAATATTCAATGTTTAATGATTTCTTAAAGACTTTTTGTGTCATAAATAAATTAACAATAACAACATATATTAACATTAGTAATCATTATATAAATGACATCTGCATTAAGATTTAATCCTTACAGACAGCTCTTTAAACAATTCTTAATGACATACTAGAAGATTCTTGTCCCCCTAAAGATTTACTACGTACCATAATATTTACTATATAGATTAACTTTTTAACCTGATATATGTTTGGATATAGAGAATCTTAGCAGAGAAAAAGTTCACTGCAAAAAGCCATGCCTATGATGCATGCCATATATTATGAGACAGCTGTGAACACTATGGTTAATAATTAAAAACAAGAAAAAAAAAATATAGTAGTTGGAACAAACAAATAGAAGAAAGAAAATGAAGATTCATATCATATGCGCATGCCTAGTTAATGTTTCTTTTCTAGGTAAGAAATCTAACTCAAGATCTCTGCAGGTAATACTTCATTGTTAGGCATTTCATAATAATAAAATGAAAGATTTGATAATATGGATTAAGAGAAAACCTAATCACACTTATTTTGTTGCATTGCCTATTGGGAAAAGACAAAAAAATACTAGTATATGTTATGTGGTCTTTTCATTATTAACTAGTATGATACTAAAACTTTTACATTGTACAAGAGATTTGGCTTTCTCATTTTGAGAGGTAGTGCAAAATGGACTTGGAAATATCTTGGAGTCAGGGAAGGTAGAAAGATCAATTGGAGAAGAAATTAAAATATAATACTACTAGTGTTAAATAATGATATAGTAAGTACTAGTAATAAGCTTTATGAAGAGGGCAGAAAGTTTGAGGCAGAGGGAACATGATGGCCTCCATGTTGACATGTATCCACACCAACATGCCTCAATCTATCACTTTGCTTCAAGGGCATCTTAAAGCATGCATGAAAGCTTACATTATCATTCTTAAACATAGAGGTTTTGGACTACCAAGTTTGAAAACAATTTATTTAAACCAAAACAAAAAGTTTAATAAATTTTTGTCCTTCCTTTTGATCTCTTATTTAAAAAAAATATATAAATTGATTCTTTAACTTTTTATTAATTAATGACAAATTTGATAATTAATTTTTGTATTTTTAATTAGATAAAAAGAATTAATCAGATAAATTTTGAAAAAACGAGAGATCAGTATTCTATTTTTTAAAATTAAGAGATTAAAATAAACTCTAAAGTTAAGTTAAACGACCAAATGTGATTTTATTTTAACAACAACTTACATTAAAGTAAAAAAAAAATCATATTAATTTAATCTCAAAAGCGACAAAATATAATTTTTACAATTTTATAATATATATATATATATATATATATATATATATATATATATATATATATATATATATATATATATATATATATATATATATATATATATATATATATATATATATATATATATATATATATATATATATATATATATATATATATATATATATATATATATATATATATATATATATATATATATATATATATATATATATATATATATATATATATATATATATATATATATATATATATATATATATATATATATATATATATATATATATATATATATATATATATATATATATATATATATATATATATATATGAAAAATATGATTTTGTCGCTTTTGAGATTAAATTAATATGATTTTTTTTTACTTTAATGTAAGTTGTTGGATATATGAAAAATATGTTATATTTGAAAAACAACTTACACTAACAAATGATTTTTGAGTATCAGGTAACTTGTTATTCATCTCTTGTTCTTTGACGGTTAGCATTTAATTCAATGTTTCAAGTTCTTCATTTAACACTTTCTTCTCTTTTAATTCATTCTTCAAAGCATAAAATTTGACGCTTTACAAAATGAACAAATATAGAACAAAGAGTTGAATAAAAACTATTAGCATTGAAAAAAATTCTAACCGTCAAAGAATGAGAGATGGATATTAAAGTACATGATACTCGAAAAACATTGATTAGTGTAAGTTGTTTATTCAAATAAAATTTAATTTTTCATATTATTATTTTCTAATTCAATTTAAAAAGTTATATGTTCAAAGAGGGGCCAGTGAAACAAACAATCAACATTAAATACAATAAACTTAATTGTATTTTCTATCACTATAATGTTCTCTTGACAAGTTTGTCGGAACAAGACGAAAGCTACACAAAGAGTCACAAAAATAATATCTCAATCTCAAACTCAATCACTACAACTAAACAACAACATTAACTTTCAAAACTTTGTAAGTAGAGCAACTAAACAACAACAACAATAACTCAAAATCAACAATCTCAATCTCAACAAAACTATAGTAACATCAACAATAAACCTATTACATACTTATTTTAACAAAAACAACAACACATAATATTAATCTCAATCTAAACAACAACAACAACATTAAACAACAATTCAAAAATAACAATCTCCATGTCAATAAAACTACACCAATATAAACAACAAACTTATTACTTAGTTATCTCAAAGAATAAACTATTTCACTACAGTTGGAAATCACAACCGAGGTGAGAAGTCTAACATTTCACCTCGGTTGGAAAAACCAACTGTGGCGAAAAGTGGCTTATTTTGTATTTAAAAATAAATATTAAGGAAGACAGGCGCTGTAAAATGAAATAAATCATTAAAAATAAATAAGAACATAAACTGTTATGTTGTTAGGATTCAAAGTATGTCCCTAAGTTAGTGTTTAGATTATGTGGTAAGGAGAGTGATTAAGAAAGATCTCAATATTAGAGTTTGGCCTAACACAACCTTACAAAACCGGTTGGTAAGGTGAGGGGTGTCACTCTATATAAACTATTTCAATACTCTATCTCTAACCAATGTGGGGTTTTAGGATCTTCCTAATACACCCCCTCACGCCCAACACTCTTTTTGGGCTTGGTACGTGGATTTTTAAACGGTGGGTTGCCCAAGGTCCGATCGATAGACTCTGATACCATATTAGAGTTTGGCCTAACACAACCTTACAAAAACGGTTGGTAAGGTGAGGGGTGCCACTCTATATAAACTATTTC